AGGCTTGTAGCTGAGATGAAATAAAAAGAAAAAGAAGAAAGCATTTCTGTTTTGGAAGATCTGCATTGTTTGGACATCAGACACTAGTTTCTTTAGCCTTCCAAAGCAATCTTCAACCTGTGACTTTACAGTGTAACTTCAGGCCTTGAACCTTTGGCTGTTAGTGGATTCCTTAGATCTACAGTACCAGGTGGTCATCATGCTTTCTTCTACCCATCCACAGATAGCCCCTGAGAACTCTTTCTCTGGTCTTGTAAGTAATAAATTCCCTTGTAAAATTATACATATATTTTATATTGAATCTATTCCTCTAGAAAATCCTAACAAATAATTTTTGGTACCAGGAGTTGTTCTGGAGAAAACAATTATAATGATGACTTTCTCTAATTGGTATAGTTGTTCCTGGATTTGGCTCTCAATTTTGATGAGCCCTAAATTTACCATGATCTCTCCTTGTGGTAAAGTAGAGAGTACTAATATTCCATGGTGTAAACTCTTTAAAGTATTATGCAACATAAATACATTTGATTATCCTAATTTACCATTTGTGAGATGCAAGAAATTTAGTGACTCTATACAATATTTTTGAACATTTTTGGAAGAGTAAGGAATATGATGCTGGCTGATTATTCATAGCATCTGTGAACAAACTACTAGAAGAAAATCGTGAATTCCAGACATGTATTGTTGTGGGATATTAAAAGACCAAAGAGACAAACAGGTGAAACAGGAGGCTTTATTCAGAATTTTAGGTGCACACCAACTTGGGAGACTTATGTCCATAGGTCAAGTGGGTGGACTTTCTAGTGGTATGAAACTGGAGGGGAGGGAGGCAAGCAAGGTACAGAAGTGAGACAAAAGCAAAGAAAAACAATCAATCATGAGGTGATAGCTTGTAACTTAGCACTGAAAGTAGAGCCATGTGAATCTTTTGAGTACAAAATGACATAAACTTTGTTTACAGGACATAGTTGCCAATTTTGAGAACATGACATAAACTTTGTTTACAGGACAGGATAGTTGCCAATTTTATCTGTACCAGAACAAGAAGTTACAGCTACAGGGGAAGGGCTGTTCATTGCTAGAATAATCTTGTTTTCCATTAAGTCCTGCTTTATTCTCCCCCTTTGATACCTTTTACAAATGAGTTTAATAGAGAGCATCATCTTCAAAATGATGATCTACTTTGTTATGGAGGAAGGCTCCCTGTTAGGCACAGGCTGTTACTTGGTTAAAACCTTCAGTCCAGTAGTGTATCTGTTCACCAAAATCTCTATGGCTGACTGAATGATTTTGACAAATAGGGGTAAGAGGCAAAGGAGAATTATAACAAAGAGGATAAAAGCCTTATGTTGTCATTGTGACTCTATGTTGATCCTCAAGCTTCAGCCATGTGTGACCTAGTTAGCTTCTGGAGTGACCAGAGCAGGGCTGCCATTTTCTCAGGCTTCAGCCATGCATAGTCAGCTTCTAGTGTGACTAGAGAAGGGATGCCTGCTCTGTTGGCAGCCTGATCTCATTGCAGGATCTGTCAGTCTGGATTTTCTGGATCCTGCTGGCTGGTCTACTTGTCTTGGGTCACTCACTGGCTTTAGCCAAATGTGGTGGACTGAAGGACAGTTCCTGCAACTTTAACAGCAGTGGGAGTAGACAAGATTATAATATGTGGCCCATCTTATATGGGCTCTAGGGCTGTTGGTTTCCATTTCTTGAACCAAATAAAGTCCCCATGCCCAAAAAGATGTATTGGATTTGTTAGGCTTATAGACATTTTTTCATGTACCCAGCTATAGGTGTTTTGTATGGCTATTCCCAAAGCCTGTATCTGTTTCCTTAGGGTTAATTCCCCTAGTTCACAAAGATTACCCTTAATTTGGTTTATAATTGGGGGTGGCCAGCTGAACAAAATGTCATAAGGGGAATATCCAGTTTTTTTGTGTGTGAGTGTACCCGACCGGAGGAGAACCAAAGGCAGGACTTGATCCTATCTCAAGTGGGTTTCTTGGCAGTATTTTTTCAATTGTTTGAGTTTCTGATTCATGCACTCTACTTTACCTGTGCTTTGTGGCCAGTAGGCTGTGAGTAGTTTTCATTTTATTTTTAACATCTGTGTGAGTCCCTGTACTATATCAGCTATGGATGCTAGTCCATTCCAAGGTCAAAGGCAACCCAAACCTTGGAATGATGTCTCTCAACAGTACTTTTGTCATATTTTGTGCCTTTTCTGTTTGAGTGAGGAAAGCCTGAACCCATCCTGAGAAGGTGCAGATGAGCACCAACATATGTTGATAGCCTCCTGCCTGAGGCAGTTCAGTAAAGTCCACAACCAAGTTTCCACAAGGGGTAGTGATATAAAGCACCAAATAATCCTAAACTTATGTAGGGCAAGTAATACAAATAAGTAAAAATAATCCAATCAAGGGAAATAAAACTCTCAACCAGCTAGATATCTAAAATGTAAGTTTGTGTTCTCTAAAATTGAAAAATCAATTTTAGGAACAATGGAGGCTGAGAGTAGGAAAAACGTATTGAGAGAAAGATCGCTTCTGTCTAAGAGAGGCAGAAGGGGACTGGAAAATGAGATGTCCTGGTCCCTGTTTCAAGGTAGGGGGTTATCAAGAAAAGCCACGAGGTAAAGGGAGTACAAAGGTGAACCAATTAATAAGATCCAATGGAAATTCACAGGGTTATCATGAGCTAGGACAAAACCATAATCAACCAAGAAGATTACAAGTACAGACCCCCAGGTAATATTGATTAAATGCTGATCAAATGGGAAAATATGTCATGTAGCAAGTGTACATATAATGAACAAGCAATTTCTGGAAAGAAAATGGGCTAAGGAGATCGATACCTATTTAGAATACCAATCACTGCTATTTATACCCAGTGGGAGAAGTTGGGTGCAGTACCTTTTCTGTTTTGTTTTTCTGTCCAGCTTTTGGTTCCTTTTGGCTTTCAATATCCCAGTCCATTGGTGTCATCTGCAGTGTATAAGAGCTACCTTCCTTGGAGCCCATATAGCATCTAGGAGTTGTATTTTATCTCTTTCCCTCTAGCTGTCAAGAGTCCTTTCTCCCTATAGATAGCCCCATGAATATGTAATGTAGCAAAGGCATACTTGGTATCAGTATAGATATTAACATTTTTGTCCTTTTCTAGTAAAAGAGCCCTTGTCAAGGCTATTAGCTCTGCCTTTTGGGCAGAAGCTCCAGTAGGCTGAGGCTGAGCTTCTATCACAGAGTCCAGTGTCACTGTTGTATATCCTGCCTGATGAACCCCTTCTAATACAAAACTACTCCCATCTGCGAAATATTTAACATCTGGCTCTCTGAGGGGGCAATCTGTGAGATCTCCCCTACTTAAGAATACTTCATCCACAGTTTCCACACAACTATGATGGAGGAGTCCTAGTTCAACTGAGAGCAAAGTGGCCAGGTTAAAAGTGTTTACTGTCTCTAGAGTTATGCAAAGATTTTTGCATAGAAGCCCCTGATCCTGAGTCATCTTCCAAATTGATAACCAATGGTACTTTCTCTGGTCCAATAAGGTTATAACTAAGAGTGGTATTCACATAGTCAGTTGTTGCCCCAAAGTCAGCTTGTCAGCATCCTGCATCAGCAGGGTGGTGACAGCAAGTGGCCTTAGGCATGGAGGCTATCCTAGGGCCACAGAGTCCAACTTCTTTGACAAGTATGCTACTGGGTGATGCCATGATCCCATGACCTGAGTTACGACTCCTTTGGCCATCCCCTTCCATTTGTGGACACACAGGAATAAAGACTTGGTTATATCTGGCAATCCTAAGGCTGGGACCTGAGTCAGGGCCTCTTTGATCTGTTTAAATCTTCTTTCTTAGTCAGCTTTCCAGAGGAGGAGCTCCCCCTGCTTTGGTGGCTTCATATAGGGGTTTAGCCATAAGTGAGAAGTTAGGGATCCAGATAGAACAGAATCCTACTGTCCCCCAAAACTCCTTATTTGGCATCAGGTGGTTGGGGTTGGGAGGGCATAGAAAGCCTGTTTCTGTTCAATGCTCAATTGGCGTCTTCCTTTTGCCACTACAAAGCCTAACTATCTGACTGTTTGTTGGAAGATTTGTACCTTTTCTTGGACAATTTATATTCAGCCTCCCAAAGTAGATGAAGTGGGTCCTTAGTTTATTGACAGAAGTCCTCAGAAGTTGGGACAGTCAAAAGGAGGTCATTTACATACTGTAGCAGGTTGTGATTGTCCTCTAGTGTGATGAGGGCTTTGAGGTCAGTAGCCAGTGCTTCTCCAAAGGTTGTAGGAGAGTTCTTGAATCCTTGGGGGAAGCCTAGTCAAGGTGAACTGTTTCTTTATGTTCATGACAGGATTCTCCCATTGAAATGCAAAAATAGGCTGACTGACTACTGCAAGGCAGAGGCAAAAGAAAGCATCTTTTAAGTCCAAGAAAGTAACCCAGGTAGCACTTGCTAGAATGAGTCCCATTAATGTGTACATATTTAGTACCATTGGCTGAATGGTTTCAGTGGCCTGATTCACAGCACACAAGTCCTGTACTAATCTATATTTTTTAGTCCCCAATTTTCATACTCAAAAGAGTGGGGTGTTCCAGGATGGCTGACGTCTAGTCAAGATTCTATGTTCTAAGAGCCATGTTAAATGTCCTTGAATGCCTTGTGCAGCTTCCCAGGGGAGGGAATATTGGGAAACTTGAACCAGACTTGCCCTTGGTTTTAGCTTTATTAGCACTAGTGTTTGATTTACAGCCAGCCCAGGTGAATTATCTTCAGCCCATGAAGAAATTCGCAGGAATTTTATGTGCCAGGCCACACAGTTCATTTGTTCCCAGTTGTGGTGGCTTATCTGAATATAGTCTCCATTTCTCAGCCTATGGGACCTTAAAGGTCAACATCATGGCCTCTAGGTGAGTCAAATTTAAAGTCATCTTTCCCTGCAGCCCAAAGGCAATTTGGGCCTGTCAGGGCCAAGCCTCCTGGGGAGTGGGGTGCAGTAGGATGGGGTCTGTGTTCATGGCAGGGGACCCTAGTGTAAGAAGGCATGCAGAGCCAATCAGCAAAAGCTGTAAGTGAGAAAGAGAGCTCCAGAGTGCCCTTGTCTTTATTTCTCAGCCTTTATATTAGCTGTTATCAGATATTTTCAGGCATTACTGCATTGTGTCCTGACATGACCGTGTTGAACATGTGTGGTTGCCTATGCTGTCATGCTTACATAACTGTGTTCCACTGTGCACATGCCCCTGACAGCAGGATCATGTCCTTAAGTGTCCTCAGGTGCCCAAGGCTTTTAAGTGCCCCCAGGCTTTGAATTAATCAAAAGTGGTACCTCACAGGGCCTATAAATCATGCAGTAAGTCTTTTCATATCAGGGGAATTAGGCAGTTTGGAAAATACAGGAACTTATGCCATATCTCTTTTTCCCCTATGACACTCCTCTTAGACTGGAAAAATGGCCTCTTCTCTGGGGCCCCAGTGACTTCAGCAATAGTCATGATTTTTGGATAATGGCTCAATGGGCTGTGTCACTACTGAGAGTGCAGCTCCACTTCCTACCATAAATTCCATCAGTTGGTCACCTACTTTTATTGTGACTGTGGGCTCTTTGGCCAATGGTTTTGTCTTCTCCCTCTGGGATGATGCCTGGTGCTTGCTGTCATCTGACCCTGTTTGTTCCCTCATGAGTTGGACTCAGTAAAGGGAGGTAGATTGGGGCAAAGGTGAAAGGATTTTTGTTTCCTCTGGTAGGTCTTGCAGGATTGCCTTCCCTGGTTCTCTTTATTGTCCCCTCTTTGACTATGAGGCTACCATCAGGGTTGATTTTTCTCCCCTTTTTGATTTTGCTCAGCTCAGGCCACAAGTATCTTACAGTAAGCCTCCTAACAGGGCTGTAGCTAAGTGGGTCGGGTCTGAACTATATTTAGCCATGAATCAGTGTAAAGAAATTGGTCTGGGTGCCCTAGCAGTTCTCCACCTCCATTTATCACCCAATGTACATGCCCAGTTGTTTTTCTATCTATCATCCCTTTGGCCTGCCACCCAAAATCAATGGAAGGCCAATCAATCTCATAAAGAGTTCTTAACCTCCCAGGGGGGCAGCTTTTTATTCCCTAGTGTATCCTTTTGAGCAACAAGGAGCTTTTAGAAGGAACAGATCCTTCTGTTCCACCAAACTAGCAAGCAAACATACATATTTCTTTTGATAAACCATTTCCTCAAGCTTTACCTTGACATACATGGGATTTCTAGTTTTGTCATTGTCTCTTTTTTTATCTTTCTAGCAGGACAAAATTTTTATCATGCAAGATCCCCTCATATCAAAGTATATCTCTTATACTTATACCCTTCTTAATATTTTTCTTCATTTCACTTATTAAAAACCTTTTATAACAACTTGGCTACTGCTGCTTGGATTTTAAAGTGCCCCCCTTTTTTCTTTGCTTTCAAATTGTTGAATGTGAAATTTGACTGGCTGCCAACAGACCTCTAAGAATCCTTGACTCAGTGTTCTTATCTTAAACCAGCAGAGAACAAAGAACAAGTTAATCCTGTAATTACAGTTCAAGAATTTGCAGTGCACAAGAAATGCTTTAAGCACACCAATTAAACAAACCACCAACTCAAATTGGAAGTCAAAAGTATATTTATCAATTAGCTCAAATTTGTAGTCTGATTCTGCTTGTGAAACATCCTTAGGCCTGGCAGGATGCAATTGACTTTGGCCATCCAGCCCCAGATGGGGGCAGCTCTGACTTTTAGGCAATTGCAGGTAGTGCCAGGCTGGTGACAATGAATAAGCACTGGCCTTGAGGCTCCCAAAGCCAGGAGAAGGAGACCTTGGGGCTTGCCCACATTTCTTTATTTTGTCCCACAGAACACACATTCCCTAGCCACCAATATCAGGGCTCTAGCCCAGTATGTGTTCCCTATGCTCTGGTCCAGAGCACACCCAGCATGACCCTTTGATTGCCTGCCATGGCCCAAACTCCTCCTACTTTGTCACTCTATTGTCCTGGCTTGAACCCTTCCTTTTCTCCTGTTTTTACTTTAGCTCCTGGGCCATCCACCCAGCAAGCCTTGCCTGTGCATCACCTCCTACAATATCTTAGGCCTGGGGCAGCCAAAGTTCACAGCCTAGATCCCCAACCCCACAGACAATATGCAACTGGCCACAGGCCAACCTGGGGTAGGTGGTGCCCCTTGCACTACCTTGTTCCATGCTCTACAGTGCTTTTCCAGCTTTTCTTCATTTCACTCATTCACATGCACTCATGCTCCTCCCCATTTCCAGGGTTTTTTTTTTTTTTATTCCTTTTATATGGGTAGTGATGGATCATTCAAGGAGCCCCTTTGTAAGCCACTCTCTCTGTTGGTTCCTCCCACAGCATCCCTGATTTCTCCACTTGAGTGTAGGTGGACCACTTAGGAAACCTGCTTTGAGCCTCTCTCACTGTGGGCTACTTTGGTTTGTGCCCAGACTCTTCTTGGATCCAGGTGGACCACCCAAGACACTCTTTGTAAGCCACTCTTTCTGTGGGACACTCTTGTGTTCCATTCTTGAGTTCCACTTGAGGCTGTAGGTTTCCTAGGACTTAATCTGGGCCAAATTACTCAATATGCACCAAGAGGTGATCAGTCTCTCCTTCTGTCCTAATTGGATTGGTATTTCCCTGGAACCCCAAACCTTACTAAGGTTCTGTAGCATGCTGTTCCAGAATTGTCCCGTTGCCCCTCAGAGGTTCTGTTTGCACTGACAGGGGAGCAATGTAGGCTGTGAGAGAGCCAGTTCTTTCTTAAAGCTTAAGTTTCACTCAGTGGCACCAGGAATCATGGGTTTCTCACAGCTCAGGACTCCTATGCCCACAGGCAAAGGAGTCAGCAAGCCTGTTGTCTTCAGACCCTTTGTGGTCAGCAGGAAATTTTTGCAGGATATCAAGAGACCAGAGAGACCAATTGGTGAAACAGGATTTATTCCAGGATTTTAGATGAACACTGACTCAGCAGACTATGTCCAAAGATTGAATTCAGAATAAAGGTAATGTTCCAGTTTTATATCTGTGGCTGAGGGGGGTGGTCTTTCTAATGGCACAAAATTGAGGGTAGGGGGCAAGCAAAGTTACAGAAGTGAGACAAAAGCAAACACAAACAATTAATCTTGCAATGATAGCCTTGTAACTGAGGCTTGAAAGAAGATAGAGCCTGTGAATCTTGTGAGAACAAGATGATATAAACTTTATTTACAGGACATAGTTGTCAGTTTTGTCCATACCAGAATAAAGAGTTACAGCTACATGGGAGGAGGGACAATTAAAGGATAACTGCCCAAGCCTAGGAAAAACTTATTTTCCTTTAAGTCATGCTTGTCATGCTTTAGTATAACCAATCTAAAGGCTCCTGCATGTGAAGAAAAAATAATAAAGGAAGATAAGGAACTTGAATTGTTCAAATTTACAGCTCTAAGAATACATAAACAATCTAACAGCTCCTCCATATGTCCTGAAGAATTGTCTCTCCTTTGATTGTAGAGCTAAACGTGTTGAAAAACAAACACAAGCCCTCATAGTATGATTAGCTGTATTACAGCACAAGTTTAAGACTCAGCCTCAAAGGGCATCTGAAGTTAAAGTAAGGGTTCTGATCAGAAAAATTGTGATCCAGTAAATTGGGGTGGTGATATCTAGAAGGAACCTAACAAGGCTGAAGATATTGAATTCCTAAATTCTGATATTATTTGTCAAAACTCAAAAATCAATAGCCTTCCTGTACATGAATAACAAACTCACAGAGAGAGAAATTAAAGAAACAATCCCTTTCACAGTAGCATCCAAAAAAAAAAAACCCTAGGAATCAATCTAACAAAAGAAGTAAAAGATCTCTACATTGAAAACTACAGTATTCTGAAAAAAGAGATTAAAGAGGATATCAGAAAATGGAAAGAAATCCCTTGTTTTTGAATAGGAAGAATGAGTATATTGAAAATGGCCATACTTTCAAAATTGTTATACAGATTTAGGGCTGGGGATGTAGCTTAATGGTAGAGCACTTGTCTAGTATGTACAAAGCTCTAGGTTCAATCCCAAGTACTGGAAAAAAATTGTTATACAGATTTAATGTAATCCCAATCCAAATTCCAACAGCATATCTCACAGAATTAGAACACACAATCTGAAAATTCATTTGGAACCAGAACAGACCTAGAATAGCAAACACAATTCTGGGCAACAAAGGCAAGGCAGGGGGTATCATAATTCAAGACTTTAAATAAATTGTACTGCAAAGCTGCTGTGATAAAAACAGCATGGTACTGGCAAAAAAATTAAAAAATTAAAAATTAAAAAACAACCAGACCTAAGGATCAATGGAACAGACAAGAATATGCAGAAACAACTCCAGACATACTCAGCCACTTAACCTTTGTCAAAAGAGCCAAACACCTTCATTGGAAGAAAGATAGCCTCTTTAATAAATGGTGCTGGAAAAGCTGCCTTTATACATGTTTAAGATTGAAACAACCCATATCTTTCACCATGCACTAACCTAAAATAGAAATGGATCAAAGATCTAAATAGTAAAATTAAAACACTAAATCTACTGGAAGAGAGAATAGGTAGAATGCTTGAGGACATAGGAGAAGGCAAAAAACTTCATGAACAAAACCCAGATCATATGGGAAATACTACAAAGAATCAAAAACTGGGATCTTATCTTATTAAAAAGCTTTTTCACATCAAGAGAAACTACCTATAGAGCTGAGAGACAACCCATAGAGTGGAAAAAAATTTTTTACCAGCTATTCATCAGATAAAGACTATTATCCAGAATATATAAAGAACTTTTAAAAATCAGACTCCCCAAATTTAAAGACCTAATCCAAAAGTGGGCATCTGAAATGAAAAGACTTCTCAGATGAAGAATTAGAAATAGCAAATAAACATATATTTTTAAATGTTCAACATTACATGTCATTCATGAAATGCAAATTAAAACAATTCTGATATTCCATCTCCAGAGAGAATGGCTGCTATCAAGAAATCAACCAAGCTGGGGATTTAGCTGAGTGGTTCTGCT